ACCTACAGCAGAGTCGTGGTAGAAAGTTCGGAGATGGTATTAAAGTAGCTCAGTTTAAATGTATTGTATGAATTGCCCTTACTATGGAATAAAAAATACAGAGTGTCTATTTACATTTAGTTAAAAGTGGCTATAAAATGGCAGTTCCAGTGGCGCAGGTGGGTAAGCGTGTGTTGTTGGCATTTTGACGCGATCGACCTGGGTTCGATCCCGCCTTTTGCCGAACTTTTTTTCTTCTCCCTTTTCAAATCTCGTATCACATCGTAAAGGCATTTATTTTCAATAAAAATTAAGGAAATAATCAAAAAGTTGAAAATAAAGTATCGGGTAGGGTTAGGGTAAGTGTAGGGAGGGCTTTGGTGTACCAATAAGGTGGCATCCATTTAATAATTAAAATTAAAATGATAATTTACACTCAATACGTTATTACTGCATGCTGTTTTATAACGTACTACAATACTGAAGTGCAGATAATTGCCACTATTTGCAACAAGTTGTATACTTGATAGTAGAAATCCTGCTATTTTAACATAGTGTAAATAGGTATTTGCACTTAGTGTAAATAGCATATTGCTAAAAATACTGCTATTTTCACTTAGTGTAAATAGAATCCATTGCTAATACGAGATTTGAAAAGGGAGGGAAAAAGAATTTGGCAAAAGGCGGGAATCGAACCCGGGTCGATCGCGTCAAAAAGCCAATAACACACACTTAGCCATCTGCACCACTGGAGCTAATGACTTACAGCTACTTTTAACTAAATGTAAATATACACTCCGTATTTTTTATTCCAGAGTAAGGGCAATTCAATTTGTCGTTGTGTTTTCTGACTTGTTATTTTGTTTTTGAATTTGTCATTGTGTTTTTTGACTTGTTATAATGTTTTCTGAATTGTTGTGTTTTCTGAATTGTTGTTTTGTTTTTTAGACTTGCATTTGCGTTTGTAATTTGTTATTTTGTTTTCAGAATTGTGATTTGTTTTGCACTTCTCTGCCACCGTAGATAAGTCTTCTGAAGACGTTTGACAACTTTGTGTGAGAAGCAGACCGACATTTAGGTCGATATTATTCTCTTCCCTCCCGTGAGCCATTAACCACTGCGAACCGACCATTGAGTCAGTGAGTTGAACTCGAGAATCGGATCAGTTCGGTTCATGAACGAATCATCTTCAACTGGTTTCTTGTAAATAACAACTAACATTGGGGTCTTTCCCTCGCACAAAACTCTCCATTCGTTATAATTGCAAAACGGTCTTTCGTGGAACAATTGAGGAAGATTTGAAGAAAGTCATACGGTTTGAATAACACAAGGATGAGTAAACAGTGACAGCTTACATTTTTGGGTGAACTTGCTATTCCAGCAAGACTGAAATTTAAATAGATTTTAGAATTCTGTTTACAAATAAATGGTATTCGATGGAAATAGCCTTTTCTGTTAAAAAATAAATAAATAAAATTGAATGCAAAATAATAAAAGAAAAGAGGAAATTATATCATTCATAATTCAGTGCTGCTTAGCCAGTCTGCCTTACAATTATTTTTAGCATGTTGTGCCTTTGGTTGGCAACACAAACACATTCATTATTTCCAGCCCACTTTTGATTAACTCCTTCACCTCTAAAACCACACACACACACACACACACGCACACACACGACCCTTAAAAGTTTACTGTGTGTTTGCACAGCATCCTCTGCAAACAGTACAAGTCATTATAATCAAATGCATTAATAGACGATGAGCCACGCGGCCTCAGAGAGCCTAATGATATATTTTGCATGGTTGTCTGTTTTCAAAAAAGCATTTTATTAAATGCCACTGTGATGTAAACAAGTTATTTTTTTTTTTACCTGTAGCTTCTTCTCTGCAGCTTCTGTTGCTGTGAACAATGAAGTGTTGACCTGAGCCAGTTACCTTATACATGAGGAATTTTCCTCTGCTCTTTGATGGTGCGTGAACATGACTATTACTGTCCACCTGATCTTTTGATTCATGGTTCTTCCGTGCGGCGCACAAATACATAAATACATATGTCATTTTGGTTTTGTGTGAACAGGAGCACACCTGCACTCATATGAGTCATGTTTTACAGTCATTAGATATAAAGGGCCGTGCGGGAGCGCTATTATCCGTGGCCTAGGGTCCTTAGCAACAGACTTGATATGGACAAATGACACCTCCACTTCCTAAAAACACAAACACAGCATGCCAGCACTGTCTGACACCAATATTTTCACACTATACGTGCATAATTATCCGCCTGGACTTCCGTGCTCGGGAATATTTTGTTTTCCTCTAAGCCACAGCCACATTTACACATCATTTTCCATTTTCTGCTAGAACTTTTATTGTGAAAACGTCCTTTATGCTTCATGATTATTGCAGTATTCCTTCATCCTGCAACATATTCTGAATAGACATACTCACTAGCCATTCATTTCTATTAATTTTTAGACATTCTGCACTGTAATTCAATTAAACTCATTCTTGTTTTCATTTGTATTGCAATTCAGCTCTTATTTTCTGAAAGTGAAAGTGATGTGACATGTGGCCAAGTATGGTGACCCATACTTGGAATTAGTATTTAACCCATCCACAGTGCACACACACAGCAGTGAACACACACCCGGAGCAGTGGGCAGCCATTTATGTTCGGTTCGGGTTTGGTGCCTTGCTCAAGGGTACCTCAGTCGTGTTATTGAAGGTGGGAGAGAGCGCTGGTCATTCACTCCCCCCACCTACAATCCCTGCTGGTACCCGCAACCTTTGGGTTACGAGTCTGACTCTCTAACCATTAGGCCACGACTTTCCCAAAGGGGAAATGTAGGTCGAGAATTTTACACTGAATCTTATATATGTATTTAAGGAAACGCCTCCTTCTCACTCTAAACTCTTTTGTTTGGAAATACGCTGATATACATGAACAATATTCTGAATAAGGTGTTTACATGCAACAAAATTTTGAATAACACAGGCACTGGTGTCAGTAAGATGTTTAATGTTTTTGACAGTCTCTGACGCTCAGCAAGGCTATATTAATTTAATTAATAATACAGT